AAAGCTTGAAAATTTATACAAGTAATGATAGTTTGTTAAATAGTCTTGATTTTAACTCTTTTCTCTAGAATATTGACAAAGGTGATTAAAATTTTCATTATTAACCAATTGGAAATGACTATCCATTAATTATTACTAACAATATCAATTAATTAATTAATAGGCATTAGATTCTAGTAACATTAGTAAAAGAAAAGATGCGATGAATGACTAATTTAATCTCCACTATAAATTTATTTTTATCTTTTTATTTTTATCCTTATTTGTTTTTCAAAGCTAAATTATAATAATGTTTTAAATTTAATCTTCAAATTATTATTATCATTCATTTTATTTGGTTTTATTCCAATAAACCTTCAATGTAATTTGAATACTCAATTCATAACGAATAAAACAAATGATTTGAATAAACCAAACCTTATCCGAACCATTAAATAATAATAATGGCGGAATATTATAATAACAATAGCAAATAATAGTAATAATAATATATGACGAAACTTTTGACTTTAGTCATTGACGTAACTAAATATTGACTAAAGGTAGTTTCTCACCAGAGCCATTTTGATGATTTGACTAAAGTAAAAGCTCTTGACGTAAGTAAAACTACTGACATAAGTAAATAAATACAATTGATACAAACAGCAATAATGATAATGATAGAATAGGATTATCAAAAGCTCAAAATGTGTGTTCTGGGGATAGATAAAGAACTATTATATCATTGTATGTATATTGCAACGATGCAAGAGGAATAATCCTGGGAAATTAGAAATTTTATTTAATTAAACTACGTATATCATTGACGACGATCATATAATTATCATAATTAGAAATACTCAAGATACGAAAGTGGTGTTTGACTATGAAGAGGTATGTAGATATATAGAAATAATTAACATTGATTCAGGTACTTTAAATACGTATATGAAATAATTGAATGAGCCACTGCTTATATAGTAAAAAAAATTCTCTATTGTTGATACTAAAATGAGATTACTTAAAATGTTGTCGAAATTGACATGCTAGAACTGATAGTTGTGTTTTCGACTATGGATAAATTAGGCAAAAGATTGATTCTATCTTTAATCTGAACAAAATTATTGGCTATTTTTTCTAAGTAACATTTCACTATTAATGAATTTTTTAAAAATTTTTTAACGACGCAACGATCTGAAACTCTTAAGGGAATTGTATATTCGCGTATTTTAAAAGAACGATAAAAAGAATTATTATAAAAATCAATCCCGAAAACTATAACACGATTACTTATCACTTGAATTCCAATAAAGGGTAATTGGAGGAGCTCGTCAATTAGGATTTTCGCGTCAGCACATTCAATATCTTTTCCCTTGAACAGTTTTCCGAATCTTATATCAATCCCATCCTTGCAAAGACGATTTATTTTTTTCCAGTCAGAATCTTTTTTATCTGTAGAGGGACTAACCGCGAAATCTCCGTAAAAGATATTTCCCAGTTAGCTGAATCGAGCATTAGAAGAACCTGTAAGTCCGGCCTATCCCCAGATTGGACAGAATGCATCATTTCCTTTCGCGTTTGTGATGAATCGGCTACTTTTTCCCTAAAAAAGTATAAAATATGAATATAGTTATATAAGAAATCGTAAATAACTTCAAAACAATTACCATGAACGCTTCAGACTCCATTTGTAATAATTAAATATAGGGTCCACAACTCTAGAAACCGCGTGGACTACATAAGAGTATTCACTGTACTCGCTCTCACCTAGCAAGGGTCTCAAGCTCTAGCAATTTCTCCTATAAATATATGAGAAAAAAAAAATTAGTCGAGATAATACGAATAGATTAGATACGGGAGCATCCTCACTTCGCGAGACATTATTCTACTTACAATCCTTCTAACAAATCGAAAGTTGTTAGTAATATTCTACGGACACCTAAGTTATTTTCATCTCGAGGAAAAGAAATTGGGTTAGCAAGGGCAGGATCAAAATCTGGACCTAATAAGCTGTAACCATTAATAAATTCATCCAACATGACATCCGTTTTCTCTGAAAACCCCGGTTCACTTAATTCGACTTCATTAAGAATTTCCTTTGCCCCAACAGTTAACTTATCGGCTACCCCATCCACTCCTTCTGCGATATCCAAAATTCCGGACGCTATTGGGTCACTAGAATCAATAGAAGATAAATCCAGTTGTTCCAAACATTCGCGGACTTCAATTATCACCTCTTCGATTTCAAAAGAACGACCAATATTCACCGCATTAATCTAATAAGGATTTCAGCGTTAAATCCAAAAATAACGATATCCATTAACATATTTCAAATAATTTTGGAATGTACATACACATTTATCAACTATTTCAGCAATATTATTCCGAATTATCTCTTGGTTCTGTTGTTTTTCGTGTTCCTCACGCTAAATTGAGTATTTTTATTAGTCTGGTGGATTCAATTCTCATATAGAAATTTTCGAAACAATACTTACTCGTTTTTTTTCTACTTGATATGCTTCACTGAAAATTTCTTGGCGCTTTTCCTATAAATAAAGTGATAAATAAAGTAAGAAATTGGAATGCTTCTGACATATAGTTTAAAATATTTATAAGAAATCAGAACTGTCATAAATTATCACATATCAATAATATATAATTTGAGTTAGCATGCCGATGGCAGATGACGAGATACACGAAGGCATTGCCCGTATCAGACCTAGCAAAATGCCCGGGCGATGAAACTCATGCATCTGAACCCTTTGATGAATACAGAGCCGGCTTTCTGCAGAGCTAAGGCGTACACTAATGGTGTTTATGTACGTCCGGATTCAGGGCATCAACATGGGCCCATGTTGTAATTATTCACGCAAACGAAGGTCATCATCTTATATTATAAACATGAATATATTTTCTCAGATACTCACCCTGGTCATCAACGAAAAATAATTAGAAATCTGTTCCAATTTTTTTACAACCGATTTCCACCCTTTATTCTCACATATTGTTATGGCTGTATTGAGCTCATTGTTGTATCGTTTTACAGCGGTATCAAGGACGCTTTTTTTCAATAGCTCCACAGTTGGAAAAAAAACTTGTGGGAGCCATACCTTAAAATACAATTTACCGTGATTTTCTTTGCGATTGTGAAGAAAAAAGTTATCAATGTCAGTCATGTTTTAGTACAGATAATATATAAGTAATGAGTATAAAATCACTATAAAAGCAATTAGCGTAAATAGATAAGTTGAAAACTTGAAGATATGCTTCCTCGATATACTGTCCTTTTTAAACGTTTTCGTTCATCTCTTTCTACGTCTTCTCTCAGTTCTACAGAATGAGTATAATGCAGAGGAATAAAGAATGTTTTTTACGCCAAGAATTATCTTACAAAGGAAAATGAATGTACATGAGGAAATTAATCGAATTTGGTTAATCGCACAAATAAACATGCATGCGTCATTATTATGATCAGGGGTTACACATATCGAAATTTTATCTTTACTCAGCCCCATTAAATGTCATACGATATAATTGATTATCTGATTGATTATGCGGATAGATTATCAAATTTGAATTTCTTTTACTTTGCTAAACGATTAGAAAAATATGGAAAAGACACTAAATTATTACCTACCCGCATCTAAGAGCGGAGCTCATGCCAAGGCATAGAAAGATCCTGTAAAATATATGTATGAACTTCCTTCTAATTTTCACGAAGAAGTTACGGTCAAGGAATTTATTGGAGGTAAGTACACTCTTATATACTTGAAGAGGTTATGGACTAAACGAAAGACTTAAATCTCACATCTTCAAGTATAATGGGACTTCTGATGTTTACGCAATGCGATCATTACCAAAGTAGATAGGAGTATGAACGAGGAGAATATCAAAGATGTTAGACGCCTTCTCAAAGAAGTAAACATTGGTATGAATCTTTATAATTACATTTAATCAAACAAAAATCAAAAGAACTTATTTATTTCATCATGCAATATACTAATTGTATATTCACTGACCGATCGGTCAACCAAAGTCACGTGATAGAGGCGCAGTAAAGTGGATTCTTATTGGAACTCTTCTTCTATAGCATCGATTTCATCCCAACTTAATTTAGAAATTCTCAATGCCGAGTAAGATTTTACCCTTTGTATTTTATCCTCACCAATATTACTGAAAAGATCGTAAATCTTCCTTGCTCTTTCTATTCTTTTCTCAATTGCGTTTTTCGAGAGGTTGGGCGGAAGCTGTTTTTCAATTTCTTTGAAAAGTTTCCTCTGAGCTCTACGCTCTTTATTAGTTCCCTTATACTCGGTTAACCTTTCTTCGAGTTTTTTTCCAAAAGTAAAGTAGCATTTAATAATTTCTTGATTTACGTTCCCAATACGTCCTTCGGCATTAATAATTGCATTGTATAGTTCAGCAAAATTACCCGGGATCGTGGCAGATTGTGGAGCGATTTCATTCGATGAAGAACTTGGTGTCTTCAACTCCTCGATAAGCTTTATTAACATAGATGATTCTCCTTTCTTAGTTTTCGTTTTTTTACTAGAGGTATCTCCACGAGGTCTTTTTCGAGATCTTTCTTGCGTAGATGCTTGCGTTTGGGAAGTATTGTTTTCATCCTCCGATTCATATTCTATATCCATCCTTTCATTATCCTGCGAGTTTCCAGTAGAATTGACCTGGAGTTCTTTCTCCATTCTAGCAGTTACAGATGAAACACCACTCGATGTGGAATCTTGTCTAGAAAACTCTTCAAAAATTTCAACATCTTTATCACAGTTGGGGAAAGGGCACTTGTTTGGTATGGTAATTAAAAGATATTTCTCAATACAAATCCTGTGGAATACATGACCACACTCTAAGATCATGATTCCCTTAAGAGGGTTTAAAAAAATTTCATGATCACATTTTACACATTGGCTTAATTTCGGGACTTCTTTATCTTTGACAATACTATCTTCGAAATATTTCAAAATATTATATGCGAGATTTTTGAGGTTAGTAATTGACATAACGGAATTTTGAAAACAGGTAATCTTTACGGATACCTCTTCAAAATCTAGCTGTTTTTATAATATTAGTAGTTTCACGGGTTATACTATCAATACCAGCTCTGCTATTAAATTAGTAATTTCGGAGCAATATTTCTCATGAATGAGATTAATTTATTCTCTATGGGCGATCTCGGACGATTTTCCACAATATGGTATTTAACGTATGTTAATATTGATTGTTTTTAGGGTAATATTATATACAGAAAGGTTCTTTTTATGAAATATACAGAACCTATGTGACAAATAAGGATTAATTCTTAGAGTTGGTAAACACTGTGTAATTCCTGCCACCCCCAGCCCACAAATTTAATCATCACGTCTGTGATAAATGTCACATTGGTTTTACAAAAATTTTGAGCTACAATTTAGTTTCCTTTTTTATAGAATGAATTGCTATTTTTGGTAGGGTTCTGTATATTCCATAAAAAGAACCTTTCTGTATATAATATTTTCCTTTTTTAAATATCTAGAACATCCTTGTCCAACTTGTAAGGGGACTGATCATTCATGTTCTTCAATCAACCTTTGTAAATTTCAAAACCATCATGCATCCAAATCTGTTCAAGAAAAAAACACAAAATACAAACAATGCACAGTAAAAACTGGACTTGGAGGATTCCTTAAAGATAAAGATCTTGAGCCTGCAATCCAAAGTGCTGTTGAAAGAATGACTCAAATTGTTTTTGAAGGCTCTCGATTGGCTAACCAAACAGCACTTTATCACATGACCCTTGGTGATCAATTTCCTTTCAACACAAGTGAAGGTGCTTTCAAGTATATGAGGCAATGTTTCCAAGCTGTAACTACATCCCAAAACACCCCTGACACCACCAATGAACCCATCATAAATAATATTCGAGATACCCTCTATACACAATATCGACCTCAAGGAATGAGTTGGACAAATAAAAAATCATTAGGACAACTTCTCTCCTCTGCTGCACAGCAATATGTTACAAATTGTCAGAACCACATAACAACAAATCTCGATAACTGACTTAAAAGATGGATAAAATATAAATTATTTAAGGTTCATCAATTTCCTTTACCCAAAAAACACATCAACACCATTATAAACCATTTCATCACTAACTTGAAAAATCAAGATCTCCCTTCCCTCCCTTCAAACATTATTGATAAACTCTCTACATCACATCTGCAATACCTAATTTACCTTACTACCCACATTCAATATATTCATTTGAAAGTACAACAGACATTATTCCAAAATCAAGCTCTTGATGATGTGTCTGTAAAAGCATCCTGGTGGTCATATCTTTCAGGTCTTCATAAAATCCTGTGCACCTTTACCAAACATAACAGGGAATGT